GCCTCTGACATTGGCAGAATCAGGTAAGGTATTCTCCTGAGTACCTGAGAGATGAATACTGATTTCGCACTGAATTTGGTGTAGGTTCGCCACCCTTCCTACATCATGCAAGCTGCTTTATGGACAGCTTGTATTCCAGGGACTTTGTTTGCAGCAAGGGGAAGAAATTGGGGGGATTTTTATTTATGAATTCATTTACTTACTTTCTTACTTACCTACTTATTTAAAACATTTTTATCCCGTCCTTTCCAAAAGGCTCAGGACGGCTTACAATTGCAATTTGTGCCTGTTCTTTGCAAAGACAGAATTTACCCGGGAAAGCTACAATGAAGCCTTGATAGTCAGAAGTACTTTAGCTCTGTGTGGAGAAAGCTGGCCTGGAGCTGTGGAGCTTTTGGTCCCCCAGGGCTGCCTTGCTCTTTGCCCTGGGGAAAGAAAGCGGGTCCAGACCCAGGCTGACAGCTGGTGGAGGCATGGCGAGCCCTCTCCACGCTGTCATGCAAAAGGAAAGTCCCCGAGTGATTTGGAGCATCTAGAGCAGGATGGGCACCGTGTGACCCCCGGGCTGGATGTGCCCCCCAGCAGGGGCAGGACATGGGGCATGCTGGGAGTTGTGGGCCTTTTCTTCTGTCTAAACTTACATAGGATTGTGCCCTTAATGTCTATTCAAACAACTTTAGGGTTATACATTTTGCTGAATACATAAATGCTCCGAAAAAAGATTTTCCTCATATTTGTTCAGCATATTTGTTTCTGCATCTGTTACATCATATACTTTGAATGCCCTCTCAAAATGCCATTTCTCCAAAGAAAATAACTGTTCATTTAAAAAAACATCTTTCAGGTCTGTGGGTTTGGAAGCCATGGCTTCCAGTGAAGACCCTTCGGACATTATACGCAAGGCCAGAAGAAAGTTAGCAGAAGCTCTTCTTCAGATAGATCCAGATTTAATTTTGGATGCCATCAGTTCTCTCTCGCTCTTAACGCCGAGGCAGTTTTTCTCCCTAAGGGAAATCAAGAGTCCAAAAGAGTTAATAGAACGCCTAATTGATCTGATGTTGGCAAAAGAGAAATTGAAGCAAGAATTATTTCTCGATTGCCTGAAGAACATGAGGCATTCCTTCCCATGTTTGCAACCCATTTCTGAATATTTAGAGAAAGGTGAGTAATAT